CTCAAAAGGCTTTACACCGAGCATGGTGCCTGCTTAAGATTCTCTCTCCCTCTGCCCCTTTCCTGCTCACTCTCTCTAAAATAAAAAAAAAAGTAAATTAAGTTAAATTAAAAAAAAAAAAAGGATTCAGTGAAATTAAAACGCACATCCAAGTTCTCTAAACAATCCAATTATCAACAAACAGCACTATGAATTATTTTTTTAAACTTCTTTTTTGCTACAGCTTACAAAAGGTACCATTTCTCTGAAATAAATTTTCTATTTGCCCTCACTTAATTGGGTAAGGAAATCAATTAGCCAATATATACTGTAAATGAATAATTAACAGGAATGTATGTCTGTCTCTGTATGTATGATAGAAGGAGGTAAGAAAATAGGGGCACCTGGCTGGCTCAGGTGATAGAGAATGAGACTCTGGATCTCAGGGTCATGGGTTCAAGCCCCATGATGATTGCGGAGCCTACTTAAAAAATGGTAAATAAACAAACAAACAAATAAATATGAAAGAGGTAAGAAAATAACAAGAGGGTAAGAAGCCATCTGCATGTTCAATGCACTACCTATCAAGATTCCACTGGCATTTTTGATTAAAGTAGGAAAAACACTCCCTAAAATTTATATGCAACCACAAGACCCTGAATATCCAAAGAAATCAATGCAGGAGGCATTGTACTTCCTGATTTCAAGCTATCCTATAAAGCTATAGTAATCAAAACAGTATTGTACTGACCTAAAAACTGACAAATAGATCAATGGAACAGAATTGAGAGCCCAGAAATAAATCCAAACATATAAGGTCAACTAATATTTGACAAAGGAACCAAGAAAATTCAATGGACAAAAAACAGTCTTTTCAGGAAATGCTGCTGGAATAACTGGATTGAAAAAACAAACAAACAAAAAAAGCCAAGGGGTAGGGGCTCCTGGGTGGCTCAGTCGGTTAAGTGTCTGACTTTGGTTCAGGTCACGATTTCAGTTTGTGAGTTTGAGCCCCACGTTGGGCTGTGTGCTGACAGCTCAGAGCCTGGAGCCTGCTTCAGAGTCCGTGTCTCCCTCTTTCTGCTCCTCCCCCACTTACTCTCTGTCTCGCTCCAAAATAAATAAATACTAAAAAAACATAAACAAAAGATAAGAGGTGCCTGGGTGGCTCAGTGGGTTAAGCGTCCAACTCTTGATTTTGGCTCAGGTCATGATCTCATAGTTCAGGAGATGAAGCCCCATGTTGGGCTCTGCGCTGACAGCACGGACCCTGCTTGGGGTTCTCTCTCTCTCTCTCTCTCTCTGCTCCTCCCCCACTCTCTCTCAAAATTAACTTACTAATTTAAAATTTTTTTAAAGACAAGAAATTTGAGTAGAACCACAGAGTAGGATTTTTTAACTTTTGACACTCAATTCTCCTATTGGTCTTTCATACTAACTTTCTAAAAAGTAAAATTGACTGTTCTTTGTTAAAAGCCCTGATTTCTTTCCATGTCTGCCAGCAATGATATTTTTGTAGTCCTGATACACACCTGAAGGAGATGACCCACTCCCATTAAGTTCTCAAGGTTCCAACTCTGCAGCAGTGGCCCGCAGGGGTTTTAGCAAAGCCTTGTTCGTTTCTCTGCTTCAAGTGTTCTGCTCGTATTCTCTCCTAAAAGGATCCTTTCTACTTCCCTATATATTTTTTAAATAATTTCGTATATTTAAATGGTAACAACGCTTCAAGCACCACTTCCTTTCACAGAAGCTCTGGTCAAACACTGATCTTGCTTTCCTGACCAAAGTTGTTATCTCTTTTTGCCGTTACCATATACAATGGCATTTATTTTTTACACTTCAATTTTTATGCCCATCTTGATTCTATCTAGAAAGATGTTGAGGCAGCTTACAAAAAAAAATAATAAAAGCAACCAATACTATAACTGATCCATTAACATAGAATAAAAAATACAATGTCATTAAAGGAAATTGTGCAAAAAGCTTAGTTCTGAGGTTTCTAGCATCAAAAGCATATAAGTAAACAATGAATTATGAAAGGCATTTGATTCTACTCAACTTGGCACTTTACTCTTTATAACCTTATGCTTTCCATTTGTCTCATATATAATAATATATTTGCTAAATATATAACTTTTATCCATTATTCATGGTATTTGTTTTTATTAAATTGCTTTTTGCCTTGTATTTGTGCAGTCTCAGAATTTTTAGAACCAAGATTAAAAACTTAAACATGGCAAGAATTATGTCTTCTTGAGATGCATTTAGACATTTATCAAATATTTTTCTTACTGTGAGAATAATGATGGTAGCAAACAAGATAAATGGTTTATGCACAGAAAAAAGTATAAAGGAATATAAACCTAAACCTAAAGGAATAACAGTATCATCTCTCAGGATTGAGATGATAAATAGGACCCTTCACTTCATTCTTTTACTGAGGTTTTTTTAAAGTTTTTTTTGGTTATTGTTTGTTTTTGTAAGTAGGCTCCATGCCCAGCACAGAGCCCAGTGTGGGGCTTGAACTCACAGCCCTGAGACCAAGACCTGAGCTGAGATGAAGAGTCAGACACTTAACTGATTGAGCCACCCAGGCACCCCTATTTTACTAAGTTTTTAAAAATAAAAACATGTGTGTTACTTATATAACCTGAAAAAGTAAAGATTTTTTTAAAGATTACTCCAATCAAAGGTTTAATGTTAAGCAGCCCAGAAAAAGTCCTAAGAAGCTGGCTCAATTTAGTATATGTGCTGCTGAAGCAAGCACAGAAGCTGGCTCAATTTAAATCAGCTACTCAGGCTAGCTTCAGGATGGGGGGCAGAGGAAAATAATCAGAATCTTGCTTAACAAAGAAATATCAGTATCTTTCATTGAGAATCAGACATTGCTAAGGAAAGAGACTATAGTGAAGGAATTTCCAAAAATAAATTCTAAGATGCTGTCACATTATGAAAGTGTTTTTTAAATATAATTCAATCATTTTTAGGTTTTGAGGAAGATAATAATAAGGACATGGTTTGTAGCCTAATAGTCATCATCTAGAGGTGGATGTGAGATAGGTGTAATAAAAGCTAAAATACCATACAGAGGATAATAATTGTTCTAGAAGAAATAAATGCCATTAAAAGGTTAGAGACTGAGGTTTCACTGTGTGATACAGACACACGCATATCTGAAGAAAATCCAGTGACTCACCAAATAGTTCATGTATAAATATCTACAAAAAGACCATATGGAGCCAGACTGTGAAAGCTCTCAGCCCCGGCTAACGAAATTCCAAACTATAGCCAAACAGAAGCATTAAAGATTTTTGAGCAGGAATGTAACATAAGTGGCATATTAGAACATTAGGAATATCAATCTGAAAGTGATATACTTGGTTCATATGGTTAGAGAGAGAAAGACAGAGATAGTAGTTAAGTAATAATAGCAACCAAAGGATTTAAATAGACATTCTCCAAAAAAGATATACAAATGGCCATTTAGCACATGAAAAGATGTTCGACATCGTTAACCACCAGAGAAATGTAAATCAAACCCACAATGACATACCACTTCACACCCACTAGGATGTCTATAATCAAAAAGACAACACGCACTGTCAAGGATGTGGAGAAATTGGAACCCTCCTACATGACTGATGGGAATACAAATAGTGTGAATGCTTTGAAAAACAATTTGGAGAGGCGCATGGGGGGCTTAGTCGGTTAATCATCTGACTCTTGACTTAGGCTCAGGTCATAATTTGTGGTTTGTGAGTTCAAACTCGTATCAGGCTCTGTACTGGCAGTGCAGAGCCTGCTTGGAGTTCTCCATCTCCCTCTCTCTCTGCCCCTACCCTGCTCACCATTTCCCTCTCCCTCTCTCTCTCAAAAATAAACATTTAAAAAAATGAAAAATAAAAAAATTTAAAAAATGAAAAGCAATTTGGAATTCCTCACAAAGTGAAACATATATATGACCAGTGACTCCACTCCTAGGTAGGTACTCAAGAGAAGTGAAAACACACATCTTTACAAAAACTTGTACACAAATGTTCATAGCATTATTCATAATAGCCAAAAGTAGAAACAACTCAAACATACATCAACTGATAAAAGGATAAAGAAAATGTGGCATGTTCATGCCTGCAATATTATTTGGCAATAAAATGAAATACTAATGCATGCTATAATAAGAATGAACCTTGAAAACATGCCAAGTAGAAAAAGTCAGAAACAAAAAGCCATACACATTTTAGGATCCCATTTATATGAGATATCCAGAATAGAAAAACCTACAGACAGGAAGTAGATTAGTGATTGCCCAGGGTTGATGGTGGCTGGGGGACATGGAAAGTCTTCTACTAACGGGTAGAGGTTTTCTAAAACTGACAGTGTTGACAACTGTACAACACTGCGAATATACTAACAATCATTGACCTCTTAATGGGTAAACTGTATGTGAATTATCTCTCAAGGCTGTTAATGTAATACAAAACAAAAAACAATAGCAACTGCCCCAGACACCAATGTTTAATGGGAGAGGGGAAAAAAACCCTACAGAATACTCAAGAATATCCTGAAATAAAAATGTAATTTTTAAATATCTAACCATCTGTTCATTCATTCATTAGGCAAATATTAATTCAAATAGCACCTGATATATAATAGCCACTGAAGATTTTCTTCTCTTAAGATTATTTTTTGGGGTGCTTGGGTGGCTCAGTAGCGAAGCATCCGACTTGGGCTCAGGTCACGATCTCACAGTTTGGGAGTTCAAGTCCACATCAGGTAAGCTAGAGCTCCACTTCAGGTGAGTACAAGCCCCGTGTAAGAGGAGCTCAAGCCCCACTTTGGGTGAGTCCCGCTTCTCTCTCTCTCTCCCCGCCCCTTATGGGATTCTCACTCTCTCTGCCCTTTACTCACTTGCGCCCTCTCTCTCTCTCCCTCACAAAAAAAAAAAAAGAAAAAAAAAAGGATTATATTTTTTATCTTAGGAAGAAAAAAAAAGTATACTAGTAGATCTGTTTAAGACTTACCAGTGATCTGAAGCTGTGATTTCATGGTCAGGCTACCCATTGAACCCAGCTGTGATCCACTGCCAGACATACCACCAACAGGACGGCAAACCTGAACATGGCAAAGGACACACTGTAAACATCAAAAAGTCCCATTAAAAAAAATATGTATGGTGCTAACCAGGCCATTTTCATATCTCACTGAAGACTGCACAATAACAGTGGCCTTCATATTGCTAAATTAAATTTTCAATTCTAGTATTCATCCTGCCTAACCTGTCAGCAAAATTACATGGCTAATCATTCTATCTTCCATGGTTTACTTTCTTTCCTTGGGCTCCCAAGGAACATTCTCTAGGTTTAAGTCCTACCTCACTGATTGTTCTTAGGCTCCTTTGACAATCTCTTCTGTTTTCTCCCCTCTTAATGTTGGGAGTATCCTAGGGTTCAGTTCCCTCTTACCTCTCTGTACACATTTCCTCAAAGATATCATTCAGTGTTGTGACTTTAAATGTCATCTATATACCAATGAGTCCCAACTTTGTATTTCTATCCCAGACTTCATTCCTAAACTCTGAACAACTTTACTTGGGGGTATGTGAAAAACCCCCCAAACTTAACAAATCAAACTGAACTCCTGATTTTCCCTGTAAATTATCTCAGTTGGTAACAACTCCATCCTTTCAGACGCTCAGGCTAAAAACCTTGAAGTCATCCTGCCTTTCTTTTTTTATTTTCCTTCCTATCTGCCAGCAAATTCTGTTGTCTCCATTTGCAAAGTATGTCCAGAATCCAACCATTTCTCACCACCTCTACCATCAATCTGTTCAGAGCCACCTTTTTATCCCCCTGGATTAGGTCTCCCTGTTTCTAGCTGTGTCTGGCTTCAGTGCCTATTCTGAACACAATCAGGATGACTTTTAAAGTGTTCAAAATCCTGCAAAAGCTTCCCATTTTACTCAGGGTAAAAGCTTAGATCCATACCATGACCTTAAAAGACTATATAAGATGCATGCTCCCAACTTCCTGATCTTATCTCCTTCTATTCTCCTAATCTACTCAAGTACCTACCTCCCTGTTATACATCAAATATGCTAGCACATTCTAGCACTAGGACTTTCGTTTTACTTGTTCTCTTGACAATATTACAGTCTGCTCCAATTCCCTGGTCATTTTTTTTTTCTTCTACAGAATATATCACCTTCTGACATACTAAGTAATTCACTTGGTAATTATGTTTATTGTTTTTTTTCATATCCAAGTGGATTTTTTTTAACATTTATTTATTATTGAGAGACAGAGCATGAGCATGAGCATGGGAGGGGCAGAGAGAGAGGGAGACACAGAATCCAAAGCAGGCTCCAAGTTCTGAGCTGTCAGCACAGAGCTCGACGTGGGGCTCGAACTCACAAACCACAAGATCATGACCTGAGCTGAAGTTGAACGTTCAACCGACTGAGCCACCCAGGCGCCCCATATTTATTGTTTTGAATCTCTAGGCTAGAATATAAACTCCATGTGAGCAGGGATCTTTGTTTTGTTCACTGATGAAAGCCAGAAGCCCAAAAATAGTGCCTGACACATAGCAAACACTTAAATATCTGTTTGATGAAATGAATTAAAAAATGGCTTTTGAGGGGCACCTGGGTGGCTCAGTCGGGTGAGCAGTCCACCTCTTAATTTCGGCTCAGGTCATGATCTCAATTCCATGAGTCTGAGCCCTGCACTGGGCTCTGTGCTGACAGCGATGAGCCTGCTTGGGATCCTCTCTCTCCCTCTTTCACTCTCTGCCCCACCCCTGCTCACAGTCTTCTCTCTCAAAATAAATTTAACAACAACAACAAAGACTTCGAACTACACTAAATGATTAAGTCTCACATATCTTCTTCAGTCTCCAATCATGGAAAAGGTAACCCCATGTGGAAACAGCATGATTAATATAACAAAGATGTTTTAACAAAGTCAGAACATTTGGGCTCAATTCCTGTCTATGACACTTATATGACACTACTTAAGTTATATAACCTCTCTAGGTCCCAGTTTTCTATCAGAAAAATGAGTATAACACCACGTCTACCTCACAGAGTTGTTGCAAAGATTATGAATATTTAAAAAATGCTCTGTAAATGTTCTTTATCATTAATAGTGTTTAAATATCTTTACAATAAAAATCTGTTCTTAGGCTTTTGGGGACTGGATAACAATACTAGAAATATTTCAACTGGGTCAAGGTAAAGATTAAAGTGAAATGAAATTTACTTAGCACTTATTTACCAAGTACTATGTAAGAACCATAATATACAGTAAGACAAAATATCTTGATACTGTATTGTCTTAAATTTTCATACAATTTTAGACTTCCATTAAAATTTTTAAATATCAGGGGCACCTGAGTGGCTCACTCAGTTGAGCATCCAACTCTTGATTTCGGCTCAAGTCACGATCCCAGGGTTGTGGGGTCAAGCCCCACGTCGGGCTCCACATTGAGCATGGAGCCTGCTTGGGATTCTCTCTCTCTCCCTCTGCCCCTCTCCCCTGCTCACGGAATTTTTTAAATTTAGTATCAAACAATTCTGGTATCTTCTCAAATCTGCCAAAATGAAATGGAACAATAATTCCCACTGAGACCAACTCTACAAAATCTAATGTTTTATTCCTTGACTTATGAAAACATTCAAAGCTAAAATTTTGGTCTTCACTATAGAAACTAGCTCATTCTCTGTGGCCTGGTATGTGTATGTGTGCGGGTGAGTGAGTGTGTGAGTCAGTGTGTGCAGTTTTCCCCCTTCATCTTCTTTATTTAAATTGCCCACTTCAGATGTTTTATAACCTACAATTTATTAAAAGAGACCTTTTATTTTAAACAGGGAAGGCATACACCATAAATAATGTCATTAGTAGTCACCCAAAATATAAAAGAAATGAATTATAACACAAAAGCCTTAACACTGTTTTGTACAGGATATTCTGGTTCAAAGTGCTTGTTATACAAAGGGCCTTCCAAAGACATCATTACCACATTCTGTATAGTTATTACCTTCTCCTCAACACCCAAAAGACTGTATGCAACAGTACTATGACATCAAGACAAGTAAATCAAGAGACAGCAAGCGAAGTCTAATATCCCGTGCTGATCTTATTATGCATGATAAAGTACTATTCTAGCTGCTGATCTATATCAACAATTTATTGCTGGAAAAATAACCTTTTTAATAGTATAGTGTACATTATTTATTCTAAATTAGCATTAATTACAAAGTTACAAAGTAAATAAATTTAAGATCTCTACAGAAATAAAATATATTTTAAAATTCAAATTAACTTCATATAGAAAAGACTAATGAAAGTACAGATTAAACACATTTTTAGGAACAGTGATTCTCTCCAGATAATTACAGATAATCACTGTGGTAGAATGAGTTGCTCTGCAAAAACATGCTGGTAATTGTAATAATGCATGTACTTACACATATTACTTTTATATATCTCTAAATACTTTAAATTCTTAAGAAGAATAAAAAATTACCGTTACGTATAATAGTAAAAAAAGAAAAACTAAAGAAACCACGTAAGTATCAATTGGTAACCAGTTAAATAAGTAACATTCATAGCATAGAACAGAATACAATGCAGACATTAAAACAAGTAACTTACTAATGACCAAAATGAAATGATTCTAAGAACATTTAAGTTATAAAATATATACATTATGATGTCATTTTTGCAAACAAAAGTAAACTATCTATTCCTATAGATACATATAAATAAATGCAGGAAAAAGTAACATCTGACACTGGTCACAGTGGTTAACTTTGTGGAGGAGAGGAGTATATATAGTAAAGAAGGTGGTCATGGGGAGCTTTGGTTTTATATGTATTGTTTGAGGTTTTTAAAAGAAAACATTTAGGGGCGCCTGGGTGGCGCAGTCGGTTAAGCGTCCGACTTCAGCCAGGTCACGATCTCGCGGTCCGTGAGTTCGAGCCCCACATCAGGCTCTGGGCTGATGGCTCAGAGCCTGGAGCCTGTTTCCAATTCTGTGTCTCCCTCTCTCTCTGCTCCTCCCCCGTTCATGCTCTGTCTCTCTCTGTCCCAAAAATAAATAAACGTTGAAAAAAAAATTTTTTTTGAAATAAAAGAAAACATTTATCATTGATGATTTGTACAAGTTAAAAAACAGGCAAGAGGGGCACCTGGGTGGCTTGGCTGGTTGAGCATCTGACTCTTGGTTTTGGCTCAGGTCATGATCTCACAGTTCATGGGTTTGAGCCCTGCATCAGGCTCTGCGCTAACAGTGTGGAGCTGCTTGGGATAATGTCTCTCTCTCTCTCTCTCTGTCTCTCTTTCTCTCTCCCTCTCTCCCTCCCTCCCCTGCTCATATGTGCTCTCTAAATAAATACATAAATAAACAAAATAAAAAACAGGCAAGAGAGACTAGATATAATAGATAACCTATACTTCCAGTCCCATGTTTTCTCCTGAGCTCCACACTTTTCATCTTGACCATTACTTACAACTGCCTACCTACACAGTTAAAATGACTAAATTAAAACTCTCTATACCTGGACACACTCATCTTGGCCTCAACAGCACCACCATCCACCCAGTTGCTCAAGCCAAACATACGGGCATGATCTTTCCCTCAACAAGTTCTAATGATTCTACCTGTAAAACATACCCTACTATATAGCCACATTACTCCTTCTCTTCTTAACCATCCTAGTCTAAGCTACAAACAGTCATCCCTTCCCTGACAACAAATTACTAGAAGTCATTAAACTGGTCTCCCTGCTTCTGTACTTGCTACTGGCTCCTTCTCCCTCCCATCATCCTCCACACAGCAACTGGAGTCCTCTTTGAAAAATAAAAATTAGATCATACTCTACTCTGCTTAAATACTCAATAACCTCCTATCTCAGTTAAAATAGAATCCAAACTCCTTACCCTGGCTTATAGATGCCCCAAGTCCATACTACCCATGCTAACTCTCTGACTTTACCTCTTATCATTCTTCCCTTCACCCACTGCAAATCTAGCTTGCTTTCTATTTCTCAAATACACTATTTCATCCTAGCCTTACAGCTTTTGTACTAACTGTTCCCTCTGCTAAGAATG